GGAGCACGATTTCTTGATAAAGTAATCAAAATAATTTCACTATGAAATAAGTCCATTTCTAATAATCATTGTTTAAAACCAACTTTCTAATTGCAATGGTTTTTGTGTCGTGTCCCGGGGTTAAGAAATCCTTGGACACCGTGGATTATCTCGTAAATCCGTTGGTTGGTAAGTAGTAACAAGACATAAATTAAATCCTTTATTTACACAAAGAAAATAAATTATTGAAGTGTAAGCGGATTCAATGATAATGACAAAGCTACAAATTAAAATTTTGTAATGTTTAGTAGTTGGTTTGTTTTTGTTTAAAAACTTTTGGAAAAAATGAGTTAATGGTAATTATATTAAGATATAGATATCCTCTTTTTATATTTATAATCATACATTCAATGGAGCACGATTTCTTGATAAAGTAATCAAAATAATTTCACTATGAAATAAGTCCATTTCTAATAATCATTGTTTAAAACCGACTTTCTAATTGCAATGGTTATTGTGTCGTATTGTCCCGGGACACCGTGGATTATCTCGTAATATAAAATAAAATCTCGAAATTATAAAATGGCTCAAAATATGTTAAATTGGTTTTAAAAGTGATGAAACACACACCATTTTTTACTAAACTAGTATGGAAAAAAATACTCCAATTAACAATGTCCAGGAAAGAGGAATTATAGTTTAATTTGATTGGTATGTTAAATTATGAATCTTGATGTTGATTCATTTGACGTAATTGTCTGATTCAGTTGTCTAGAAATTTGTTTTGTCTACAAATTTTGGAATTTCTGGCCTCCTAAAAAGTGGAAGTAATTTTTATATGGAAAACAAGAGAGACCCAAAATTACTATGTTTCCACTGTACATAACGTCAAGACCTATAACAAGAGAAAAATTATGAGTTTACCACCTATTTACCATTAATACTTCTCTATGCTAACTGTAAAAGAGAAATAACTTTATATTTTACACTTGTTTATTTATATCTTATTTTTCTAAAATAACTTAAATTAATTCTTAATAAACTTCATTATTCGTGTATTTACATGTCCTCATTTTAATTATTATTTTTATATTAAAAAAATCCATTTCAGTATGAATTTAAATTTCCTCTTGTCTTTACTTCTTCCATCTGGAGCTGAAAAATCGTTTATTTTCTTTATTAATGATTATTGCATAATAAAAATGTAACAGGTTTATAGTGTTAAAACTTGATTTGATTAACATTTTCCAACATTTTTAAATATCTCAATAACTGAAAAAATTGATTTATAATAATTGTATATTACGACGCAGTTTGGTATGACCAAATATTTATGTTTCATATCACGATTAATGTATCAAAACTTAGAACAAACATTATTTTTATTTATATATAAAAATATTTCAGATTCTTCATTCTCAGAAAAGGATAAATTCATATTGATGACCGATGCCTCTGTGAAAATAGACTTTGAACAAATCGGCGATAAGTATGAGTTTTTTTTTTAAATTAATTCCTAATTACAAAATTAATAATAATATTTTTTTTTATATTAGAGATGATAGCGTAAATATTAAAACGCTTTTCTACGGCGAAGCATCGGTTCATCGCGTTGCCTTGTGGGTTTACATATTGTCCATTGCTCTTGGTCTTCTGCTGCTGCTTTTAATCATTTTCGGTCTGACGAAGTGCGGGTTCTTCAATCGCAAAAAGAAAATGGAGCTCGAGGAACTGAAGAAAGCCGAGGTATGTTATAATTTTGAGATTCCATGTAGAATCTTAATCATCATAATCTAAACTTTAACATGTTGAACATTGTAGAAAAGTATGTTAATTTTATTTTTTAAATATTCATT